ATAAGGTTTTCCCTGGCCAATTCTTTGAGAAGTGGATGGCCTCTTCCTTCTTCCTAGTCTGTCTCAGTCTATAAGCTGGGCTGTTACCTGTGACAATCCTAGTTCACCCAAAGAAGCAAGATAAAGTAGTACAAACAAGGGACCATAATACAGAGCCGAAACCCCCCTGACAAAGAAGTGGCATTGGAACTCCCTGATAAGGAATTAAAAAGAATTATATTTAGGTATCTTCAATGGATTGAGACACAGATCAAGGTAAATACTAATAAAATCAAGGAAAACCCTGACAAAATTAAGAAAAACATGGACAAAACTCTAGAAGAATTTAGGAAAACAATACAAAATCAAACTTACAAAATAAATGAAAAATTAGAAACCATTAAAAATAGCAAATAGAAATCCAGAAGTTTAATATTGAGACTTCAGAAATAGATAACACAGTGAGAGGGCAAAGGAGTAGAAATGAATTGATGAAAGAGAGAATTAGTGTAATTAAAGACAAATCCTCCAATATTACTATGTTAAGAGAACAAGCAGAAAAAAGAACAAAAAAAAAAAAAAAAAAAATGAGGAAAGCCTAAGATTTACATGGATACCATCAAGAGGAATAATTTACATGTGATTGGAATTCCAGAATAGGAAAAGACAAATAAAACCACAGAAAAAAAATGTTGAATATTTGTTGAAAGAGAACATCCCTAATATGATGAAAGACAAGAAGATATGCATTCAGGAAGTTCAATGAACCCTGAACAGGACTGAACCCCAAAGAAAATCACCAAGACATATCATAATCAAACTTTCTAAAACCAAAGACAAAGAAAGAATCCTGAGAGCAGCACAGGAAAAACAAAAAGTTACCTACAAAGGGCAACCAATAAGACTAAACTCTGGTTTCTTGTGAGAAACCAAGCAGGTGAGAAGACAATGGGATGACATATATAAAACCCCCCCCAAAAAAATTGCCAACCAAGAATTACATATTCAGCAAAATTGTCCTTCAAA